TAGCTATTGGGGGGGGGTAACGTGCAGATCTGTCATCACAGAGGAGGGAGAGCTTGTACCTGAATAAAACCTGGTCTTAAAGGTACCACTGGACTATTTTGGATTGGGGAGCCGGGGGGGGAGGGCTCTGCAACTTACCTGGCTGCTTCTTGCTCTGACTGAGGGCTGCTGGGAGCAGGGGGTGGGGCTTGTTGCATGTGCCTGCCCCCCTGGGCTCTTTACTGCCAGAGCTCTGCTCCTGTGCGCTCCTGCAGGAAATGACCCCTGCTGTGAGGTAGGTGGGGTGGAGAGAGCTCCTTCGAGGACTGCTGTTGAGAGGACAGCTCTGAGAGAACTTGTGGCTGACTCAAGGTCACTCCAGCAGCTGCATGTGGAGGAGTGGGGAATCAAACCCGGTTCTCCCAGATTTGGGTCCGTCCTCCTAACCACTACACCAAACTGGCTCTCAGTCTCTGTAGCATATAAACCACTACACCAAACTGGGAGGAAAACGCAGCGTCAAGGAGGATCAAAGAAGACCCAAAGGTTAAGGCTGAGGGGGGGGGAGGCATCCTGAAATTATTTTCAGCTCCCCCCATTGTGATGATTTGGGGGGTCAATCAAACTATGATGAAAATGTTTATCCTGTGTGTTGGTTGCCCCTTGTCAAGGAAAGGGCAGTTCAGGCTCTGCTTGCTGCATTCAAGACGTGGTGGGGTGGGCCCGTGGCTCAGGCCCAGAGTTTCTGCTTCGGGTGCAGAAGGTCCCAGTTTCAATCCCCGGCATGTCCAGTTGAATGATAGCTGGGTCCAGAAAGGACCTCTGCTGAGACCCTGGAGCGCAGCTGCAAGTCCCAGTAGACAATACTGACCTCGAGAGACCAACCGTGAAGCAACTTCATCCTCTGCTACAGCCAGTTCTTAAGAGGTGGTCTTCAACAATACGGACAATGTCCTCCGATTGCGTTGAACTCAGTCGATTTTGTAGACTGCCAGGGCCGGCTCACCCACAAGGCAAACTAGGCATTCGCCTAGAGCGCTGGGCCCTGGATGGGGCAGTG